GGGCTTGCCTCCACGAGGAACTCAAGTCCTCGAAAGCAGGAGGTGCCGCTTTCGTCTCAGCTGTGAACTTGTGGGTATTCAGTAACATACCCATGTATTTCTAATGTGCACACATCCTACCTGAAATGATCTTGCAACATATCTAGACATGCATGTTCCTTTGGGTTAAATGGGGCGTGGAAGTAAGATTGGACCTGTCTACAGCAGCCAATGAGTCTTGTGTCAATCACATACCCTTAACATCTAATGTGCTTCATGCCAACCATTTGCAACCCGGGCCATCCACCAAACTTGGGCAGCCTGAGTTGTTTTTTGACTCCATCACGTGTTGAATGCTTTGGTATACACGCTGCATTGTCCATGCAGTTTTACAAAACCTTTTGGCACGACTTTCTCGTTGAAGCAGGCGGTCCGTCTCGCAGGATCACCCCAGCTGAGGCACCTGCCTGGGCAAACTGGAGGCACTTTCCGCTTGGGAGTGTTTATGTTTTTGTCTGGATGGCCTTGAACAAGCCATGAAATACTGAAACACATTCAGTTTCACAGAAACAGACCACAACAGCTGTCTGTCTATCGGAGCGTCGAAGGACTTGTTTGAGGCATCCAAATGACGCGTGTCAGCTTGTCGCATGCTGGAAGCGAAACTCAGATCACATTGTGATAAATTGGCAACGTGCACCCTGAGTCTTGATACCGACCGTTGGCCAAGCATTTCGCACTCCAAAAGGTTCCTGAGTGACTGCAAAGTCCGAGGAGACACCCAGCGTGACGCATGCACTTGCAAGGAGCATCCAAGCATTGTCCATGCGAAGCCAGTGCCTCGACGTCTGCCTGACGCATGCACCGCAGCCACTTAAGAGTCCTGCTGGGTTCTTTGAGGCCCCTGCTTCACGCTTCCGCTGCTCTTCGGCGACATCTCGGATGGGCCTGGGTCAGCGAGCTCGCATGCCATGCAAGGATACGCAGGCAAGGGGCGCTTACCCGATTCCAGTAAAGAGAGATCACCTCTCAAACGGCACGTGTCTTCAGTCATAGAGAGAGAGAAGACAGACAGGACCTTTCATGAGCAAAAAGCAATTGGAAGCCCGCAGAGATCCTGAAGGCTGCCAAACAGTAGTGGCACAGCTGAAGATAAATGCACAGCATGCACAGCCTTGAGCAACTCCGCTGTTGATTTGTCCAAGCAGGCAACAAGCAAACAAACCAAAGCGGGCGCGCGTAGGCAGCAAATCGAAAAACCAACCCAAGGTTGGATCAAACTGCAAACTTGACTGCAGTGTTTCGGCTTCAACTCAGGAATGATTCACCACCACTTTGTTGTGGCACCACCTTTTTGCAAGTTCGGGAAAAGCTTGGCGCGTGGGGACCGTTGAGCTCAGTGCCACGGGTGAAGCACATCCGGCTTCTGGCCGCCTCGGTCTCGGAGCGATCCGGAGCGATCCGGAGCGATCGGGGGCAAAAACAAACCAGAGATCGAGTGGTGGATAAGGTGAAAGGTGATGGCCAATGATCTGTGTCGCCAGTTTTCTTTGGCACTTCGGATTATTGCACATCTGTTGCTGAACAAACAATACATTTGCTTTACAGCAACTCTGTCTTCAAAACATGAGGTTAGGAAACTCTCGATCGTCAACCAGTCAATTCCTCGGCAGCCGAACCCCTCGCTGCATCTGCCAGGTAAAGCCTCAGCGACGTGAAAGGGGGGCTGGAGACCTTAGGCCTCCCGACGCCAGCTGGAGCTCGAGCAATCTTTTCAGCAAACACCCGTCTGGAGCATGAGGGCTGGAAGTGACAATGTCGTTCATGGTGGTGGTGCTTGTTTCAGCAATGCTGGGATGCATTCCTTGATGAATATGAACATGAAGAAAAATAACATCATGATGATCATGAGGAGGAGGAGGACGAGGAGGAGGACGACGACGCAAACGATGGTGACAACGATGATGGCGATGACGACGACGATGACGACGATGATGAGGATGGTGGTGTATGGATGTTCCTCGCCACGTTTTGGGGTGCAAACTGCTCCACAACCCGGCCATCATATGACAACCAGCAACGTGGTGTCGTCACTACTCTCACAGCTACCTATCGCTCCCTGAGTCTGCCTCAAGTTGCAACCTCCATGAATTTGTGTCAGGGCTTCAGTTAAAGTGCACAGCCACATGTGACAACGGGTTTTGGCAGATCAGAAGATTCGAGATCCCGGGATCCCGCGAATGGTTCCTCCGGCCGTCCAGGATCCCGCACGGCTCGGCCAAGAGTCTTACCTTCACACAAACAGCCGGCTGCGGCAATGAACAATTTCCCAACGGGATAGTTGGCGACCAATCCGACAGGCGATAAAGAGGTTGAATCTCTCTCCATAGCACTGGCCCCTGGAAAACGACTGAGCAACCCACATCCTTTGAAGCTACAAGAAACGTCTCGCTGGCCAGCGGCCCGACAGCCAGGCTTTTAGCGCCTCCAGCCCCTCCTCTGCGTGGCTGAGCACGAAAAGGGCCTCGGCTCTTGGGAGAAGGATACCAGATGCGGCCAAGCTGGTAACACATGTAACATGCAAATCGCAATCCTGCTTTTGTTTGTAACTGGACATCGGCCATCCATGTTTAGAGCCCTTAGTTGTCCTTTGAATCAAGCAATTGGGTGAATCTGTCTGTGAAGGCACTAAGTATTTGCTTCGTGGGTTGAACGCTGACTTGGCAATCTCGGAGAACTCACACATCGGGGGGGTGAACATGCTTGTGCAACATGTGCACCTGGTCGCAACAAATGAACAAACAAAACCAGGCGAATCATGCAGGATTTCTTCTACTCCTACCTGGTCGGAGCAGCCCTGCAGCCCCTTCGAGCGAAGTCCAAGGCTTGATGTCGAACCAAAAGGTTACTCATCTCACATTGTCCAATCAACGCCGTGACTTGAAGCCTTCACCGGCATCAGACCGAACTTGATCTGCTCCAAGCGCTGCCCACTGACCGACTCCCTCGTGACTGACTCTCAGCAAGGCCCCCGACCACGGCCCTCCACAGCATCGCGCCGTGCCATGCGGTGGCCAGGATTCCACAGCTTGCAAGAATGGCTCTGTGCCCCCGTCTTGGCTGTTTCGAGTCACAATCTGCCGTAGGGGGCCCGTTCTGTCCCAAACTTGTTCTCCTTGTTTTGGCGGCAGCGCCGGAAATAAAGCCTTCCCGAAGCGTCCTGCTGCTGCAATTTTTGGCCTCAAAACTGACGCAACATGCTATCGAGTCTTGTAACAGCTGAACTGTGAAATACTTCAAATTGTGATAACAATTGTGATGATGTCTGAAGTTCCCTCGGCAAATGCGTTCAATGTGGGCCTGAGTTTCACCGAGTATTTGGTTCTAGGCGGTATGCGTACATATGTTGGTCGATCCTTGCAAACCTTTCTCGATGCTTTGGTGCATTTGGGCAGTGCTGCGACCTGCCGGGTTTTGCCCGTCGAGATGCCTTGCTGAGATGACGGATTTCAGTTCCTCTGGGAAAACACTCATGCTGACCATTGATGAAAAGCTGCGCGGCACCTGTGCTGCAGCAAGAATGAATCCAAACCTTTCCAATTAGCAAGGACGTCCGAGTGCTTTTCGGCGTCAAGCACATGGAACTGGAAGCAACGCTGGACGACACACACACACAGACTTAGGCCTCACAGGTCTCCAATCAGGCCTATTACCGCGCGCATTCAACTTGAAACATGGAAAGGTCATCGTACAGAGCTGACTGGCATCTGCGAAGCCTCGCGCAGTCTCTCAGCCTGTAGAGCATTCATTGCCAAAACTGAGCCGACAATCTTCACTTTTGACATGCGCCAAGTCAACACAAGCGACAATGTCAGTCCGAACATCAGGCCATATTATTGTAGTTGGCGAGTTGATGAAAGGCAAAAGAAGTGAGGAACGGCGCACCCCAGAACACGCCCGAACAAGAAGCCCCTAGAGCGATGCTTGCCCACGTGCCTCGCTGGCGCCGACGCGGCAGTGCTGTGCGATCTCTGCGAAGTTGAGGCGCCGCTGCTTCTTGGGCTTCCTGACGCAAAGTGGAAGGAAACCAAAATTGAAGTTGAAATGGTTTTGGGGCTTTTATCGGCAAGACCAGGGCCTTGCCAGCTGGTAGAAAGGACGAAGTTTTGCAGCCTGGGTCAAGGCATTTGGTCTTTGACAAACACCTCTTTACGTGCAAATTTGACGTTGGACCAACTGACAGTCAAGCATTCATAGTCTGACATCTAACATCTTAATTTTGGGGTGTCTGAAAATAGGGGACCTTTCTTGGATGGTTTTCAAGGGAAACCAAAAGGAAACCACACACCTGAAAGGCTCCCAAGTTTTGAGAAACACTAATTTGAGGATCCAAGGTCTCCTTGTGTGTTACCGCTCTGTGCACCATTTCAGTCTTCAGCTTGTAGGGCTGTTTGCTCTACTCATGAAACTGATGAGGGCACTTCATGACAGAGTCATATGAGGCCAAAAAAAGAGTGGAACAACATCTTTCTACATACTATACTCACCGTCGTTTCGCCATTCAGCCGGTCAGCCAGCAAGCCATCGGACTCCTGAATGCAAGCTCCATGAGCGACAAGGCGCACATCTTCCGCCTGACGCACTTCTGTTCATTCTCGCTAGCTGTCTCTAAGTGTTTACGTCTTTCTTTGCCCTCAGGTACCCCTTTTTGGTTGGTTTTTAAAGGGAAACCAAAAGGAAACCCACCATTTTGGGGGGTCCAAAGTGCTTTCACGTGAGCCCGACAATGCACCAGCAAGTCAAGTAAACTAGCCACAGCGCGGGTGTATCCGTGCCTGAGCGTATCGCCAGCCGACTTCAGCTCGGGCGTAGCTTCCATCTGGGCCTTGTTCTTGGCGATAGCTGCATCAAACCTCGAGAGACGAGGACCGCAGCATCCACCCTAAAGCCATCCGACATGAGCATGTGACCGTGCTGCAGCTGCAGAATGCCTACATCATCATGCACAAGCGAGCGCTGACAGTCGAGATTTCGGCTTTACCCACATTATGATGGTCTATGTCGGCCCTCACTGACAGTTCGACGTTTGAGCACTGCTCAATGGTCATCCTGCGTCGACAATCTGTTTGAAAGCGCTTCGGCATCTACTGAGGCATTGTGCCCTCTCAGCTTGAGCTGAGGCAGCCACGTCTCGAATTTCCCGTCGCTAAAGGCCTGGCAATGCCAGCGAACCTCCTCGGACTCAAACACATTGACACTGCGACGAATCAGCAGCTTTTACTTGCACTTACATTGCAGATCTGGAGAGGACGCTCTTGCATTTTTCTTCACGGTGCCGGTTGAAAGACTTCACATACCATGGAGCGCCCTCGCTCAACCGGCTGAGCAGCGACCACCATTCACCGACAAATGAGTTCTCAATACACCACGTCTTGAGTATCAGCAGTACCAAAAACACACATCTCTTGCAACTTGAATTTAAAATGTGTGCCTCAAGAAGGCCCTTTTGAAGCTCATCAGTTTTGCTCGTCAAGTCCTTGTTGGGCTTCGGGGGGATCTTTCTTGGACGGCGAGCAATTCAGCTGTCAAAAGCTAGAAACTGCCTCGTATAGCATCGGCAGCCCTTCCATGATCAAGGCCTTCCGAAAAAAAGAAAAAAAGAAAAACAGAAAAAACACATAACAACACCACAATGGACCAAGGAGACACACTCAGACCAGTGCCATGGCCAAACATTTTTTGACCTCCACGCCTGGAGCAGCTCCCGCACCCAGGCATATTGAGAGCCTGGAGCCGTTGCCTTTTCATTGTCCGTGTGGAGGACTCCCGATTTCAGCGGCCGGGAACTCATCAAATGCAGGTCACTACCCTTATAATGATCATGTCTGGAGTAGCAATTCTCTGTGTGTGTGGGTGCCTTTTAAGGCAATTGGCCACAACCATGTGAACCTTAAGGCTTCATTCGTGAAGCCTTCTTGAACAGCTCAGGCGACACAAGGCATTGAAGGTCAAGATTCACAGAAGCGAGCCATCTGAATCATGAACTTCAGAAGGCTCTCACCGCTGCTGACACACGATGGGATTCTGCCATCCAGTTATTCTCGCTAGCTTGACACATGAAGGACGCCACTTTCAGCTGTCCCAAGGAGTCTCTCAAGTGCTTCTGCAAATCTATTTACCTGTAACATCCTCATTGATCTCGCAGCGGATGGGTTCAGCATGGATTCTGGACGGTGTAGCTGAGGCAATAGCTTAGTCCCAAGGAATTATGCAGAAACAAAATCTGCAAAACAAAATACAGGAACCAACGGAGCGTCTACTTTTGTTGATGCGACTTACTGGCTTTGCACCGTACACACCTAGTCATTCACCAAGTCCCTCCTAATCCAGGGGAAGCTTTCAGAGTAAACCCTTTGTCTCGCCAGGATAACCCTGGCACGGCGCACCATCTAAGGACGGGATGATCTCCTGCTGAGTCAACTCACCAAAGTTGAACTCCTGGCGCTTTGGATGGTGTCCCGTATGCGCAGCAAATAATGACATCAAAGCTCCAGAAACAAAAAAGCAATCCGCATTTCGAAGAGCTGAAATGCACTCGTGCGCACAGTGCGCCACAACGGTGTCTCTCTCTGTTGTGTGTGTGTTGGCTCGACTGGTTGTCGCGCGTGTGCATGCAGTCTTGTAGTCTTGTGAGTGTGGAGTAGGTGTGGGTGTGTGGGTGTGTGGGTGTGTGGGTGTGGGGGTGTGGGTGTGTGGGTATTGTCGTGTGTAGGTGTGTCGTGTGTGGGTGTGTAGGTGTGTTGAGTGTGTGTAGTGGTGTGTAAGGTGTGTGGAGTGTGTGTGTGTGTGTAATGTGTGGGTGTGTGGAATTGTTATTTTAATGGTGTGTGGGTGTGTAGAATGAGTATGGGTATGGGTATGTAGGTAATGTGGGTAATGGGTAATATTAGTGTGTAGGTGTGTTGATGTGTCGATGTGTGCGTGTATGTGTTGTGTGTGTGTGTGGGTGGCGTGCGCGTGGCGTGTGTCGTGTGCGTGCTTGCCTTGCGTATTAAATGCCGTGTGGGGCGATAATGGCGTGTGCGCGTGTGCGCGTGTGTGTGCGCGTGCGTGCGTGCGTGCGCGTGCGTGCGTGCGTGCGGTGTCGCGTGCGTGTAGCGTGCGTGTCTGCGTGCGTGCGTGCGTGCGTGCGTGGCGTGCGTGCGTGCGTGCGCGTGCGTGCGTCGTGCGTCGTCTTGCGTGCGTGCGTGCGTCGTGCGTGCGTGCGTGCGTGCGTCAGATAAATGCGCATCTTGCGTGCGATGCGTCTTTGTCATCACGTGCGTGCGTGCGTGCGTGCGTGCGTGGCCGTGCGTCACGCGTGCGTGCGTGCGTCGTCTCAGTGCGTGCGTGCGTGCGTGCGTGCGTGCGTGCGTGCGTGCGTGTGCGTGCGTGCGTGCGTGCGTGCGTGCGTACGTGCGTGCGTGCGCGCTCAACATCGCATCATCATCATCATATCTTATCTATCATCTGTCACATCTCAAATCTATCATCTATCTATCTATCACATCATCTTATCTCATCGCATCTGATCGCATCTTATCGTATCGTATCTCATCAAATCGCATCTTATCTGTATCTATCTTATCATCTTATCTCTATCATCACATCTTATCTTTATCTTATCTATCTCATCCATACATCACATCATCTAAACAACATATCACATCATCATCATCTCTATCACATCTATCTATCTATCACATCACATCACACATCATACTATCTTTCAATAATAATAATAATTACATGCATGCATCACATCACATCATCATCACATCACATCTATCACATCTATACATCTATCACATCTATCTATCACATCTTATCTATCAATAATATCTTATATCACATCTATCTATCACATCACATCTATCTATCTATCTATCACATCATCAAGCAACCAAAGGCACTCACATTCTGCATCACATCATTGCACGTGAACTTAATAATAATATAATAATAATATAAATGCATCATAAATAAACAATAATAAATAATAATAATAATATAAATGCATACATGCATCTCATCATCACATCTATCTACATCACGCATCACATCTGTATCACATCTGCATCATCATCATGCATCATCTTCACGATAAATAAATTAAATTATAAATCATGCATCATATGCATGCATCATCTTATCTGTCACATCATCACATCACATGCAGGCAGAAGCGTAAGCGTAAAACAGCATGCGTAATGCGTAATAGCATTAGGTATTGTAGTAATAGGTAATAGGTAATAATAATGAAATATGTGTGTCTCTGTCTCTGTCTGTGTCTGTGTCTGCGTCTGTGTCTGTCTGTGTCTGTCTGCGTGCGTGCACGTGTGCCTGTGCATGTGCGCGGGTGCGTACAGGTTGTGCGGCTTGCGAATCTGGCGAGCTGACATTTGGAAGGCACACCAACCTAGAGTTAATCCGAACTGAATCAAACACTCAACTCATTTCAAGGTTTTCTTGACGTCGCTGCAGAGCAAGGAAAACCTCAATGCACAAGCAAGCAAACCCTCGTACACGCATGCACGCACACGTGCAAACGGGCGAGGGCAAGCAGGCACGGGCAGAGGAAGAGGCAAAGCCACCTCCACCACCTGCCCCTGTTCTCGCACCCGCATAAACCTCCGAACTTGCCATGCTCAAGAAAATATCGTTGCCACACCTACTACGATGCCACCATTCTAAAAAATGTGGGGAGGGACATAACAATATTGGCACGTGCCAAACATCCATCAGACGACCAAAGAACCGAGGCACATAAATTTGACACAAACCCAGCTAGAACTACAGGTCTGGTGAATTCAGTAAAGCATGGACCCCTGAGCGTGAATCTCATTGGAAGACGTGGTGCGCCTGACTTTGAGACACACAGACTCCGCTTCCCCCAAAGCTTGTTGGAGCCGAGTTGGCCCGCTTCAGTTCTCAGGAACAGCCCAGGGGGCAGGTACCCCAGATACAGAAGCTGTGAAAAGGGATGCCCAACATTTCTGCACGAGGGTGCGCATTTTGATGTGAGCAAGTTTTGATTTACGTTTCAATTGTACCCAAGAGCCCAAGTTGCCGAGTAACGAGAAGCCACACAGGTACATGAAGTCAACATGGGTTTCTGTCAACATAGGAGACCCCCGATGGATGATTTCCCTTACCAACCTGATAATACCCCCTCATAAAAACACAGACCCATATATGCGCTTGTCTTCTTTGAGGGAACCATTTTTTCTACATGGGTTCATTTTCAAACAGACACAAAACAGGTGCCCAAACCAATCTGATGGACGGATGATTTTCCTAACCACCCTGCACAAACCAACAGAGACACGTTGAGACGCTTCAATGGCATGCACCATGCCTCCTCCGCCACCAGCGCAGAGACCACCGTCTCGAAGGCAATGCGAGGCCGCTCCTCGAACAAAGGACGAGCGGGAGGGGGGGGGGGGGGGGTAGGCTGGTGCTGGTTTTCAGAATGCGCCAAAAACACGGAGCAGAGACCAAGAATTCATGATGAACGCTGATGATGATCAAAGACCAATGCAGATGTTGAAATCCATGACCAAACCATGTGATGCTGAACGAGAAATATGATTAACATGTTGAACATGTCAAGCATATCTTTCAAGATCGGGATATCCTGAAGAACAGCACTGATTCGATTCTGTGCTGCATTGCATCTTGTCGGAAAATGGACCCAAACTTCCGCCCTAGACAGCTAGTGAGAAAAAGAGGCGCTTCATCTAGCACTCAAGGATGCCTTCGCATGGCGCTACAATGAAAGCTCCTCCACAGGGATAGCCTCGAGCGGAGTGAAGGCTAAGTACAGGATCGAGCTCTTGTAGAACCTGGGCTGGGCCATTGGCGGAAAAGCGTCGCTTGTAGATACTTGGCCATGGGTCAAAACCCCGTACCCCCAGTGAACATCCCAAACCCACTAAAATAGACTAAAATGGGTGGTGCACTTATCCCAAAATGGTACCATTGGGTTTGAACCATGGCCACTTCAGTTGCAGGTGATTTCATGTGCCGCAAGGGACCATCATATTCTGAATCTGCTGAAACTTGCTGGCTGCTCAGTGATGCGTTGCGAGGGCTGGAGCAATGACTCATCAAGATCAAGCCTGATTGAGTACACATTCCCATCAGCAATTGCACTACATTTGCAGGTCAACAGTTGGCCAGTGCAACTCCATGATCAGCCGTTCCAACACTATGCTTCCTAAGCTTCTGCTTGCCAATGCCCATCGATGCCTATGTCGAACAATTAAAGCATCTATAACCGCCAGCGTCCTGAGCACTTGCTGCACCCTTTTGAAGGTTTTTTTCGCTCAACTATCACCACTCCCATCCACCCATCCATTTTTGATCCCACAAACTCTGCAAAAAAACACCCAACAAAATCCAACTCTACCTAGGTCCTGAGCACCCTTCCGGCTTCGCCCTGAGCTTCCCCACTCCTGGGGCCGCGCCAAGGTCTTGTAGAGGAGCGCCATGGTCTTGTGGTAGTGGGATTGGATCAACGCCTGAACCTGCATCTAGTAGTTCGAAGCGTAAGAACACGTGGCTGTGGCTCAAAAAACCGGTACCCAAAATGGAGGCCTGGTAAGTGGAAACATGGACCAAAACCTGCGTAACCCCTCCTGTTTAATTTTTTGAGCCACACCCACATGTAAGCAAAGAAGCTCTTTCGGCAATACGCGACGTACCTACTTGCTTTCTTGCTTTCTAAGGGATGACCTTGCAAGCTGCTGAAGCATGCAGCGTCCAACACCCTCAGAGAAAAGGCGTAAAACTCAGGGTGTCCGTTCCACCCTATGGTGCGTCCGGAGGCGCCGTTCAACCGGACTCCTTGACCATGGGGGCTTTCAACCCAAAATCCACTTCCAAAATCAGTTTCCCAAGAGAGTCTCTAGGTCCTCCACTACAGAGGTTAGAATAAGGCTACCCTATTTTCTGTAGTCTATTCTCTTAGGGGAACCCTCCCCCAAAAACGGGGAGAGAAGGGCACTACTGGGGACCAGATCTGACCGCTTCACACTTCCAGCACCAAATCTCAGCGCACCCAACCCGCGCCTCGTAGGCCGCCTCGATTTCGGCGCCCAGGTTGTCCAGCAGCTCCTGAGCTCGGGAGCCAGGCGCTTGCCTCGAATGCGGGGAGACTGCACCAAAAGGGGGTTCGAGTGCTATGAACATCTAGGGCTGTACGCGAATCTTAGCTGATTGACCAACTGGCTTATAGGTGGAGCGATAGTCAGCTTGGCCAAACTGGTTGAGAGGAAACTTGAGCGGCCTCCTAGATGTTCATGCGACGCACTCCATTACATGCCAGCGATCTGGCAAGCCTCTTGCGTTGACCCGGTTGTGGTTGCGCATTACTTCATCGGGCCTCATATTGTGATGTTTCAGGCTTTTGTGATGGGGATCCTCAAGTATGGAATCCATTCGTCTGCGTGCGCTCGATTCAAATGCGGCAAACACTGTCTGGGTTGTTCTTGCAAGCCTGCAACCTTATGGGGGCACGACAATGATCAACGAATCATGCTTTGAATCTTGGGGCAGCCGCATGGATTGAACAGGTCGAGCTGCAATTGCGGCTGAGAGAACAAGTCTGAAATCAGTCAGTCACAAGAGTTAACTCCTCCACACCCTTAAAACAAACATAGAACTGCAAAACCAATTTGTACAGCCTTTTGGGAGCCGCCAACTTTTGTGGGAGAAGCGCGCTTGTAGGTGAGACATCTCTAAACCCGGCCTTGGCTGCATCAGTCTCTCCCGCATAGGTGAGCTTCTCACCCTGTGCGTGGCCAGGGAACTCTTTGTGCCTTGTCTCAAATCGGAACCCCTGAATTGGGTGGTGGGGCGGGTTCCCATTGTTCTTTAACCTCAGCAAAAATACCCACAACAAAAAGACACACTCAAGTGCCGTCAGTAGCTTAGCATTCCTGATGCTACTGAGACTACATAACCTAAGTTAGCATTGCGAGAAAAGGTTCGCACGGCTGATGGCAACTGGGCATTGGCCCTCAAATGATCTTCTGGAACTGGTGCAATCAGGCACCTTTGAAGGATTGTCAAGGCCCGCCAGCAAAAACTCGCCATGCCGAGCTTCAAATAGCTTTACCCCCCCCAAAAAAAAATACTGAGCTGGCCCGAGCTGGCACAATACCCTGCTTGACCTCCCATTTTCAACGCAAGGGCGGAAATGGGCTTTTCTATGAGGGGATGTGGTGGAGACTTTGTATCTTAGTTAGAGGCGGCGCAAGCTGCTTAGATGATATGGGGTGATTCAAAGGTCAAACTTGGGGCTCGGGAAATGCACTTTCAAATCGAGACTCGTCCTATAGACTTGATCCGTGCTTGCCCCTGAGAGTCATCTCCTCTCTAAATTACTAAATGTACATGCGAATCCCAATTTGTGAGCCGCAACGAAACATTCCTGCCAACTGGCTATCTGGGTACAAACAGGTGAGCAGCACGAAATCAGGCTTCAGGATTGCGCAACACAATGTATCAAGAAACTCCGGATGAAGAAATAATGTAATCCTGTAAATCCGCACACCAATTTGAACGAGGTATCCCCAGCTTAAAATTCATGCTGCTGATGCCGGTAATCCCGTAGCTCCCAGTATGGCAATGTCGAAATGAAAGTCACTCTTCCTCTTGGCATTGTAGGGATTCAATCAACTAGACAGCATCACCAGGGGTGTCTTTCTGCCACCTTCCGTGAGAAAATTGGCGACCCCCTCAAGAAGGAATCCTTCACTACCAGGGGGTCGATCATTTTTCTGCAAGTGGCAAAAAGAAGGACCCCCCTGAAACCATCCACTGGCCCACAGACTCACAGCTAGCCTTCAAGGTCTGCCACAGGTACTTGGCGTCTCTGCTCTCTGCCATGGAGGCCTGGCAAAAGGGAAGCACATGGAAATTCCCATATTCCTAAACAGGGGTTTATCAATCCGGGGTCAACATTGCTGTACTTCCCACCGGATGTCATGGAACTCAGAGGGTCCGTTCAAGAGTTTAACCCTCCAGCTGCCTTCCCACAGGTCTGCTAGCGGGAAGGAGGGAGTCATGAGCCGATGAAATGACTTGCCTAGCCCGTGGCTCGCGGACAGCGCAAGAAAGCGGGAGTGTTCATGGGCGACTCACATGCATCTGAGTACATAAGCACTCAAATGCATGCTTGCCCACGGCGACTTACACGTCACTGCTTCTGGGTTGCTCACCTAAACGTCTTACATCCACGTAAAACCTGCTTTAACCCCAGCCCTTAGTTGTTGTGCTTTGTTTTCTGCTTGGAGAAGTCTCCTTCAAGGTCTCCAGGCGTTTGAAGATGTCGGAGCTGAGGAAATGCTCTTGAGGGAGTTGGTTTATGGCTAGGGTTGGCTTGTCGTTTGGAAGGCGCGGGTGCTCTTGAGCTGGCTTGGCAAGCGTGTGTGCAGTAGCGCAGTGCTGAGCGGGTGCCTGTGCGCCTATCATTTGGCGCATGCAGTGCTGAGTGGGTGCGCGCTTGAGCGGGTGCACCGATCATTTGGCAGGCGTGTGCGCAGTGCTGAGCGGGCGCGCTCTTGAGGGGGTGTGCTTATCACTTGGCAGGCGTGTGCTCAGTGCTGAGCGGGGGGAGGGCGGGGGGGGGGGGGGGGTGAAAGTGTGTGGGGACCTATTAGTGCGACACCATCCACGCAAACTTCAACCAAGCGAATGTGGCGGTGTCTCAAATCTAGGCACCGCCGATTTAGACTTTCACAAATTAGCTGGACGACAGTGTTCATTTCGAGAAGAGTCATCCAACTTGCCAACCGTAGCCATGCATGTTTCCCACCCATCGCCCTGAGTGAAACTCCACGAAACTCATGGTGATTTTCACGGGAATTGTACGAGTCATTCTGCTTTCAGCCTCGAAGGGGGCGAGGATCTCCAAGGCGACCGCGGGTGTCTGGGGCTTCGTCACAATGGACAAAATCTGCACCTCGGTTTGGCCGGACATTCGGCTTGTTGCAAACCTCTTCCTTGCATAGCACACCTTAGGTGGACACATTCGCTCGAGCTTCTTAGATTCTTGGCCTGGGCTTCAGGCATGGGCCAATGCCTGAGAAGCTCTTTTCATCAGACTCAAAGGTGTAAAACCATTTTCGAGCTAAGCATCCACAGGTGGCCCTTGCAATTCCCAGCTGGACTGTTTGCACCAGTTTCCCGTCGGTTGTGAAGCTGGTCAGCTTACTATTGGGTGGTAGGTCCGGTCACAATCTCCACTGCTCCTCCCGCCAAAACGACCTGAGAAAAAGGGACGATGGGTAGCAAGAATGGTTGTACGTGGCCAAACAAATAGAACAGAGTTGTGAGGCACTTTGACAGGTTAAAGTCATCATGGGATACGAATGTGCGAGATGCTTCAAGCCCTTTTACTAGCTGCAATCTGGGCATCGGACCCATCGCACCTTGTCGAATTTGTTCTCAAAGTCCTTGATGAAACCTGCGCCACCCGGAGATACATTGCTTGTGCGTTATAAATCCCCTCTCTTTTTTTCTATAAGGGACTTCTCTACATGACACACTTTGCAGACTGAAACCTGGAAAGCTGTCTTCTTCTTGCTCTTCTGCTGCTTCTTTTCTGCTTACTGCATTTCTTCTTGCCCTGACCGAATGTCATGCACAGTACAAGTACAGCTCCTCTGCGGGAAGATGGAACGATGGGAAGAGGGGACAAGCTGAATAAGCATTGAAACATCACTAAACACAGGCTGCAGCAGTTTCCGGTTAGTTGCCCACCTTTGAAATTGTGCAACTCTCGCCTATTGCCGAAACTAGAGAAGCCATAGTCGCCTACACAAAATGTTGGGATTGAGATAGGTCTGAAATCGAGGCACCATTCTTTGCACTGTTGCAAGGCAAATACAGGACATGCAATCTCCCCACTTGATCTTGGTGCAGAAGCCCTGCATCTGCGCCGTCAGAACATTGCCATGGCTTGGAGAACATAACACCCACAGCCTGGCAAATGTAAGCGCCCCGGACTGGAAGCGAATTGCTAAATGCCACGCAATTTCGCATCTCTGGTCGGCACGACCAAAAGACAGACCGTTGCCAAACCACTTGCGGCAAGCTTCACAAAGGTGCAGCGCAAACATGTCCACCTCGAATCAATGAACATACTCAAAGGCCGAGCCCCAGACTTTCGAAAAAGTCTTTCAGCTCCGGCGCGGCGGACGCCCCCGCAAAGGTCGGGCTGGAAAGGTACCTCTTGTTGAAGCGGGTTAATGCGCCCATGTCCCGCGACAATGTTCTCTGATTCTGAACTTTGAGTGACCAAAGGACACGTGAAAGGCCCGAGCCGTGCAATACGTCAATTGGCAACCCGTGCTTTTGGTCAGTGTCTCTCCATGTCTCTCTTCCATCGTGCCACTTTGACCCTTTCTGCTTCCCTGTGGGGTCACTCCAAGAGGGTCTGAGTCAGTTGGTGATACCTCGGGTCATGCAGGCATACAACAGGGCTGGCTCATCCATTGTAACCCGATCCAGCTGTTTCTCGAAGCCGCATCTCTGGATTGCAAGGATTGCAATTCCTAGGACAGAGATCCTCGAGCTTTCGGAGGTGGTGAGAATTGACATTGCAGCGATCAACAAGTGCAAAGAGGAAGGTATATTCCTCCTAACAAACTGAGGCGAACTCCGGCTTGGAGCCTTGGAGGGAAGGCCTACGCAAACTACACTGGCCAGACCAAAAGCTGCGCTTCTTGAAGGATTGAGCAAGTACAACCCTTCCCCCTATAGAATCGTTCTGGAAGAGACCTGCGGCTGTCTTTTCAAAACAGGCCAAAAGCATAAACTTTTGTCTGACTGCAGGGCAGTACACATATTTGCTTTCCTGAGCACTATCCGAGATTTACAAAGCGAACGGACTCTACGAGTTGCACAAATGGTCAACTGGCTGCGCCCAGCCAGCTCTTGGCACTATGGATTCCATGATCCTTCGGCGAATTTAAAGACTCCACAACCTATGATCAATTCACAACTTCTGCTTGCGACTTGGGACTTTGAATTACATGCACCCTTGGGCCAAAGTAACCAACCAGCCACCACAAACACCGCCTGACGCCAGAAGATCGACCCCACTCGGCAATTTATCCGAACTTATCACCAACCCCAAATGCCATTGCGAGCCATTGGCAGCTTGTTGGTGACATACTTCTCGATTTTCTCCAAGGTCTCCCCAAGCTCTGGGTGAGCCTGCGAAGGACTCATGGACGCAACCATCAGAAACCCCACCCATTTTGCAGCGGGTGCTATATCACACAAAGCAGTTCGTAGTTTTTTGGTTTCACGAAAATTCCCTTTCATTGATCATTTTTTACAGCACGGAATTGTTGTTGGGGGGTCGATTCCTGGCTTTGATACGGCCCCAATATCAAACACGTGCATTCCCGAAAATTGCCGCCGGCAGGTGGACCGTCGACTGCGCATGGCGGTGTTTGTCTACCACATGGCCAGCCCATTCAAAAGATGATCTGACTCAGTGAACAGGCAGCTCAAGAAATTGAGAAGTTCTTTTGGAACAGGAATGGATCATGCCCCTACCAGATACGCCAAGGTTAAGCCAGCCTTGAAAGAACCCGCTTGTGGAAGACAGAGGCTGATTGAGGCAGGTATTACTTTCATCCAGTGGGTCAAGGATGGTCAAGGAGTGAATGCTTCTCTCTGGTTGCCCGAATTTGCCCACACAACCGTGGTCTCAAAAAGATTGAACGCGTGGGCAGGTCCCAAAACCAATGGGGACCACTCCCAAAGCTTCAGTTTCGCACCCAACTCACACGACAGTCGCACCAAACAGCATCAGCTGTTGCTTGGAACACGTGGAAACAGTCACCTCAGGATCTGGCACCCTCGTCAAGGTGCCACATGAGAAGGCTCAGACAGCATCATTTGGCACCCTCGGTGAAGGTGCCACCAATTCTGGAATTGCCTCTCTGCACATGCCGTTGCACAGTGCTCTGGGTCCTCTGAGCATACCGTTGCATCCTCGGTCGGCCCCAATGACCAAAAACTGGGCCAACCCTTGCTTAACAGGCTTATTCCATGCCCACGACCTCCAGAAAGGCTTCCTGGCTGTGGGTAAAAAATAGGTACCCCAAAATGGAATCCTGGTAAATGGAAACATGGACCAAAACCTGCGGTCCATATCCTGGTGCTTCATACCCATCTGAGCACGCTGATTGGATATCTGAGTGTTTTTGGGAGCCCTTTTTGGGTACCCTGCTTAGGACCAAGTGTCTCGTTCAACGCCCAGACTCCTCTCCGCAACTCCCTGCCTTGCGCTGCGCCTCCAGCACCACGCCGGAGTCCTCCATGCCTGCCCCAAACGTGCAAAGGACGGGGGTGCCCACAGGCTGTGTCCATTTTTGGGGGTGGTTTTGACCGGAAGCCACACTAAAACCAAACATGTTTTCGGATTTGTGTGGGGGGTCGCCTATTTCAGACACCCAACTGAGCCTGAAGTGTTTCTGCGTGGAAGTGGTGACGTGCCTGGTGTCCTCCCATATAATAGAGAGTGCAACATATCTCAGTACAATCACGCAAAAATATATTGAACGAAAGCATGAATCACGTGCATGCGAATTGGGGCACTCAGATTCCACTACGTGCAACACATTTATAAAAGGGTTTGTCCATGTCATAGGGCTGCTAATAAATCTCGCCCGTCAGCGTCTCACCATCAAAATGTGCAATGGGCCCTGATGGTCATTGATGACCAATATGTTCACGCGCGGACTCCGGTCCAGGATGTATCACCCAAAGGCGCTGGGCCCCGGCAGGTTCCAAGCATCTCCCTGGGTTCTTATTTCAAAAGTCTTCCCATCCCTTCCAAGAACTTCTCTTGCGGGGCCAATCGCATTCGGGACCCTTTGAGCAGATCGCGGGAGCACGACTTCGAGTCCCGGGTCGCCTGGGCTCTTGCGAGGTGCCGGCCACGTTTTGGACTGCGAGCCAAAATTCAAAGTTTTCACAGTTCTTTCCATCGCCACTCTGCACATGGGCCGCGAGTCCTGTAGTTGGATCCCAGCAAACTCCACATGCTCGCTGCCGTGATATGGCATTCCTATAGTATACAATGACGCGCCTGGGGTTTCCATGGAACTGTTGCTGGGACGCGCTTTGAATCCACACTTCTCCAGCGTTCAAACAAACTCGGGCTACCTCCGAAGTGATGGTGGACGGAACCACAGAGTCAGTCACAGGAAATTCAATGTGCCCCTTGACGCGCAGCCTGAACAAAAAGCTGCTCACCGCATGGCAATCGAATGCTCTTCTTCTGTCGCAGGGAGTCGCATGGTTCTGCCATAAGCATCTGAGAAGCAGCAGCACCGGGCTCTTTTGCACGAATGGAGCATTCTCAGCCTGCGTGGCTCAACCCATCGGCGGCGCCGACGGAAAACTGAAGGCGGAAGCATGGTGTACCCTGCGGACTGCGCTGTGAAGAAGTTTTTGTTTGCAGGGCTCTCAAGGGGGCCATAGCTATCCAGACATGTTGACCCGGTGGTACCCTCCGTGGTAACCTGGAAGCGATCCGCTGCCACTTCACACGAGTATTGTGCATTCAATAAATCAACATGAACTTATCAGAACCATTCAATTTATATCCTAAAGTTCTGAGTAGACATATATACACGTATCTGTATACGCGTACGTGCAATCTCGGCCAAATATCCAATTTCCAACAGTGAGTTCCTACGCAGAAGCCAAGCCTCCACACTTGATCGGTCCTGCACTGTGGGTTCTCGTCAAGTGTGCGCAAACAAACGTGAAAGTGTGGCTGAACTATACTTCATATACTTCATTGCGTATTCGCGGGAGATGGTCAAAAGTCCCGGTTGATCCAAGCTTCGAGGCAACTTCACCCAAACAAAACAGATCCAGAGAGGCAAACAAACACAAACAACTTCAAACAACTAAAGCATTCAGGTAAGTCCTGTTCAGCATGCTGTTCCTTCTTCGAGCTGCAATCAGAAATCATGGACACATGCGCGCAATATAGAGCCTTTCCGGGAAGGTTGTTTTGTTGAACCCTAGTGAAGGACAGTCTCGAGTCCCATGGGCAATCGAGTGCGCCTGCGCCTGCAGCGGCTTGTTGCGCCTGCGCCTCAGCCATGAAACTCGTGACACGTTCGGTGCGTTGGTCAAAACTTTCCCTATATGGCCATGGGTCAAAATCCCTTTTCGTACCCCCCGTGAACATCCCAATCCCCACTATAGACTAAAGCTGGGTGGTGAATTCATCAAATGGTACCATTGGTTTTGACCCACAGCCATATCCCAAAATAGTGAGGGCATCGGGCGCATTGGGACAAAGCATACATGAAACAAAATGAAGGCACTTGATTTGCCAAAAACCAGGCAAAACCTGACGCCGACTTTGTTACGACTTTGTCGGGTTTTCTGCGGCTTGCTGACAAACACGAAGCTACTTCTTCGCACCAAACGGCCAGTCTCAACTTGCATCCAATTCTTCCATGCTACCCATCGTGCATTCCGCTGCTTTCTGGCGATAGCTTGGCGTATATCGTCAGTGGCACTAGCCACCCAAACGAACTCTAGAGCGTGACATCTGCCAACGCTCTGAAAACAAGAACTGCCAAGTGATGACACACTCGGAAGCTTCCCGCGACGTTGAGAATTTGCTAGGGTGCCATAAGCTGGGCTGACAATGTGCTCTCTCGACTGGAGCAACGTCAACTCATTGGCATTAGCCTGGTGTCAAACATCCACAACAACTTACCTGTTTGATTGGAACCTGAAGTTGGGCGTCTGCAAGCCGCAGCAAAGCCGAGCTCACCAAATCAACTGCCAAAATGGACTGGCCAGTTGGAAGTTTCCTGGTCGCCCTAGCCGAGAGCATCCATCCACAGCCGTTTTGCAGCCATAAAAATCCTTAAATACAAGTGAGGCAAAGCCTCAAATCACGGGCATTTGCCAAAAGACTGTGGTCCATTGAGGCTCAAACTCAGTCAACCCCTCCAAATCGTACACGGCCGTCCCGTGTACACTGGCAATCTCTCTGCAGGCATCTTCTCGTGTGTGCTACTTTTGAGATGTTCAGACAATTTCTACTGAGGGCTTTCAGTCTGCTACAATCTGTATTGTTCTGGAGCACGGCTACCAAACGTCGGTGGTCAAATCGCTCGCAATTCAACAGCGCGTGACCGGCTCAAGGCTCGCAGGACCAGATTCAAAACTAAACGGCTCAGCCGACTGGTTTTAGGTGTTCTGCATAATCCCTTCCCCCTAATAATAAAACGCCCCCCCCCCTGCCTAATAAAACAAAGTCCCTGCCAGCAAAACATTTTTTATTATTCGGGGCCCCCTGCCCCGGAAGTCAGGTTTTGCAGGCGCATCTTGTTCTTGTAAGCTTGTCTCCCCCTGTTCCGGTCCGGGAAATCGCATCAAACGTACCTTTCCGAGTAAGGAATTTAAGTAGCAGGAGTTGAGGTCATGCTTTGTGTTTTTCGTTGTGGGTTTAGTACAGGAACGTGCTTCCGGAGCTCCGGCTCGAAAGTCGCAACTTTGTAGTACAGCCGTAGTAAAGAAAACGTGCCCCCGGGTCCCCCTAATGGGTCTGGATTGAGTACGGGCAGGAAAAACCTACATTAGAATTGGCTTAGCATTGGCTATTCTAAAAGTAGCATTCCCGGATTTGGGACTTTGGAAACTATTTTGTGTTGGGAGACCTTTACTAGGGGGAAGGGATTACAGAACTAGGATCCCGCCCGTATCGGACGCATGCATGGCGCCTCCGGCGCCCTCGCAAAACTGACCACAGTCAGAACAGGGCGACGTTTCCAAATAGTGCAAGCGCTGACGGAAGGAGAATCTATGGTGAAGCAGGCTACAATAGTGTCAGCATGCTCTCTCTCTCTCTCTTTTGCCATGTCCAGCCTGCAAAACGCATCTCTGGCGCGCTTATGGTTCTCCACTAAAGCTAGGCACGTTGTCCATGTCAAGTGATAATCTCCGCTGGATGACTGGCTGCACTTCCTGCCCACGTCAGCTTCCACGCGAACGTCTTGAGCTCTGAAAAATGAGAACATGTAACATGCCCCAACGCCGAGATCAGGCTGCATGTGTCAAATGCTTTGCACGCAAAAGCACCCACGGACAAGTTTGCAGCCCGGCAGCCCAATCATTTGAATGTGCACACTGAGTTAAGCCAGCATACAACATCACAGTGCGAAGTATTCTATTCTGGAATGCAAACAGGCCAAAACTGCTGCGGGACATACTCGGAAAATGAGTCTGTGCCAACGTTTTGTGACGTGCACTAAATCGCATGGGAAGACTGTATCAGCAATTCAACATGCAGAAGCGAACAAAAAACATAAGGATCGGGAAGGCAAACATATAGAGCAACATCCGGTGACAAACATGAAACATGAAGTAGGATACTGGTTTCCCAAATGCACATACCCACGTCCCTTTTATTGCAAATCCCCAGGGCTTGTATAGAAACTGATAAAACAACCTTCTCGGCCTCAGTAGTGAATGATCATATCAGCTCTCAAACGCTGTACCGTTCCCTTCAGCCGCCCCTTCAGCTCCGCCTTCGCCTTCAGCTCCTTCAAATCCGCCTTCGTTTCCTTGTGCTCCTTGTTCTCCTTCAGCTCCTTCACCGGGCTCCCCATCACCAGCGCCTTCTGCACCTGCGCTCGTGCCCTTAATGTGCCTGTTGCCAGTGCCTGGGACGCTGGCCTTCAGTCAGCCACTCGTGAAGAAATGCAAACACTTGATGGCGTGGCTGGCAAGCTCTGACCCCTGTGGCCGAGCGTTCGCGAACCATGAGTGCGATGATCCACGGTTTGTTGTTCATGCAGCAGCGCGGCAGCGTCAATCGCCGCATGCCCGAGCAAAACACATGCTCAACAAACTGCCCGTGGGCATCAAGGCAACCTTCGGGCAGAGATAATGGATGGGTGCAAGTAAATGTGCAGCTGCTTTGCATTGCATAGGTTTGCACAAATGGGATATGGCACTCCAAAATGAGTGGTGTCCTACAAAACCCCCAAACAGATACTCTCAAAAAGTCAAACTCAAATTGATTCTGCTGCCTTCGTAATTTATCAAAGAATCGACTGGGCCAACTCATCCAAAGAAAGCACGGAACCTGAAGGTAAAACCTCACCCCCCCCCCCAAACGTGGTACTGAACAAGGCAGTGTGAAAGACACTTGTCCTTCAAAAGGATTGGTGACCGACAGGAGAACTCTAAGATACAAGCATATGAAAGCAAACGCAAGGAGCAATGCAGCACTTCTCTGCTCATGTCCACACTTATCCATTGCACACCTATTAATCAAGAACTTGGACTTGACAATGAGTGCATTTCTTGGTCACCCAATCACCTAAAGTCAAACCACGATTATGATGGTGAGCAGCGGCTCATGGAAACAAGTTGCATCTTCCAGCATGCGGTGACAACAAAGAGTGCATGTGAGCAAATGTAATGGATAGAGGAGCAGCAACCTGTTTTGACAGGCATCCGCTGCAGAAAGTTTTTGAAATCAGTGACTGCTGGCATCCTTTCCTTATCCAATTCAATTAATTAAAAGTCTACTTAAAAGATTGAACAAATCCTTCTAGGAAAGGACACACGCTGACAAGTCCAACTTGAAATAAGAGTTATAATGAACAGCAATTTGAAATCCCGGAAATCACATTCAGATTCTACCTAGAAACTCTACTTGAATGTTGTCCTTGTTGCTTCCTGTGCGAATTATGGTTAAAAGATTGGGCAATCACCATTTGGAAAGGACATCCCTCTCATTTTTTTGAAATATGACTTCTCACTACAACCTAATTGAAGTCCTCTTTGAAAAGGACAACCCTATTTGAAATCAGCTCCCAATCAGGTTCTGGTCAGAAAACCAAGGCAACCTTTAGCTGGCATTCATTTGGAAGATGACAGGTGGTGTGGGTAGGCCAGACTTGGACTCAGTGTGGCTTCAGAGTGCTCAAACCAATCTCTCAGGGGAAACGTTCTGGAACCACCATGCCCTCAACAGCAAAACCGAAAAACAACCTCGAGAAATCGAATGTTCAGACTCGAACACCAAAGACACCTCGAGAAATCAAATATTCAGACTCAAAACTAAAAAACAACTCGAGATATTCTTTCAAAAACAAATCTCCGAGGAACCTGCGTCAAGGTAGTGAGGGGGGTCTCTGTGTAGCAACATCTCCCATGGCTCGTGATAGGCTGCAAAGAGAACAAAAACGGGGATAAAGAGTAGGTGGCACTGGCAGCTTGTAGAGGTAGTGGAAAACCGAAAACATCTCGAGAAATCCAGTAAGGAGAAAGAAACAAAAAAACAAAGCAAACACAAACAATATGGCAGTACAAATGTGGGTGGTAGTCTGAAAACCATTACAACCTCGAGAAATCCAATGAAACCAAAACAAACACTCTGGCAGTACAGATATGGGTGTATGCCAAGTATGTCCCCCACCAGATGCCTTTTTTTTCTTTCTCGAGGTTCTTTCGGTTTTCAGACTTGCACCTCGGCTGGTAGTCTGAAAACCAAAAAAACTCGAGAAGTCCAAAAAAACCTTGAGAACTCCCATAACACGAAAAACATCTGCCAGTAATGATGTGGGTGGTTGCCTGAGAACCAAACAACCTCGAGAAATCCCAAAAAAAACAACAAACAATCTGGCAGTACAAATATGGGTGTAGGCCGCAAAATGTCCTCCACCAAAATGTTTCGTGTTTTTTTTTGGGGGGGGGTTAGTGGATATCTCGAGGTTTTTTGGTTTTCAGACTTGTAAGTAGGTTAGGCGCCCAGAATGTCCCCCATTTTTTTGTTTCTTTGGCTTTATTCGATTTCTCAAAGACTTTTTTGGTTTCAGAGCACAAAAGGGCAACAGCAGTTGGGTGCAACAACCCCGTGCTCAGGACATCCCCTGTCTGTTTAAGATTGAATCATATCTCAATTAGATTTCCAATACGATAACATTTTGAGTCACAATTCAATTGTCCTTTCACAGTAGGATAGAGTGGGTGTTAAAAAGAATAGAATCAATACAAAAAAGCTTGTTGTTTCTTCCAATTTGCAAGCCCCTCAAAAGGAGTGAACCAACAGTAAAACTCATGGACAAAGACAGATTTCATTCCAAAAGGTGTTTATTGAATTAGATATCAATTAGCACTGCCCTTCCAAGTGGTATTGCAATTAGAAGTTAATTATAATTTTGAACTTAATTTGGATGTTAAACATCATCTTGTCCACATATGAGTTCAAAACCAGAATGCTGATTTTGAAGGACATGAATTCCCTCCAATTTTACATAGGAATTCCTTGACAACTAGGAGTTTGATTGGAATGTAATTGGATCTTAGTCAGAATGTCATTCTAACTTACATAACTGTTCAGGCGGGGTGTTTCTTCTGAGTGATTCGAATATATATATATATATATTTAGAATCAGAGTTTGAATACGACTTTCTTTCCAATAATTTAGACATTTTACTAGACTTTAGCTTTAATCTAGAATCTGGTACGGACAACAAGCTGGCTATTTCTTCTAGTTGATTTGAATAGAATTCGGCTGCGGTGAGCAGGTGACATGCCCAGCCTCCAAAAATGCAAAAGCACCTCGAGAAAACCCTCCTCCCCAAACACAAGCAAGACCCATGACCTCTTGTATCTGTTGGGGTGTGCTTTTTGTTTTGCTGGTTTCTCGACGTTTTTAACAATCCTCCCCCGATATTGCAAAAACCTTGCAACACCCCCAGAAAACAGAAGAAGAAGAAAAATCAAGACAAAAGCAAAACCAATGACCTCTGTATCTGTTGGAGTGTTGTTTGTCTTGTTCTCGAGGTTTTGTGCAATCCTTGCCCAAAGTAGAAAAAAATCGAGAAAACAAGCCAAACCAGGGCAACATTCCTGACCTCTTGTATCTGTTGGGGTGTTTTGCTTTATGCTGGACAGCTTGCATCCATGTCAGAAACCAACAAAACTAAACAAACTCAAAAATCAAAAACAAGACCCATGACCCCTTGTATCGGCTGGGGTGTGTTCATTGTGTTTTTGTGTTTTCGACTGTTGCACAAGCCCACCCCCCCCATGAGGTGCGCTTCTGTTATGATAAGATGTGAAGTTTACTTTGTTTACTGCCACTCGATTCATAATCTATTTTGCGAGAACTACTAATAAACACTATGAGTCCCGAATTTGTAGCTGTTCAAATAGTAAACCTTGACGTCAGAATGACACCTCAATTCCAATACTAGTATGAAATTGATATCGCTTCAGGAGCTCTTTTTGTCTGATTTGTACTTTGTGTCTACATCTCAAAAAGTCTCAACCCACCAATCAAGTGTGCACAGTTTACGCTTGTCGTGAGATCCCCACCCCGTGCCAACTCATGCCAGGTAAAGCAGCCATGCATTTGCGCAAACACGGGTGAAGTTCCGTCGAAAATTGTTGTTCATAGTAAGTACGTTCGAATTTAGAGAGTCCCCAATCGTTTGCCAGCCTTTGGTCTATAACACAAAGGTATCGTTTTTTTTAGAGTCCCCTATCGTTTTCCATTGCTTCAAGCACCTTGAGCTATATGGATGTCCAAGTGTAAACTAAATGTCCTTTTCCGTAAATTCTGACCGCGCTTCATGTGTGTGGGCGGGCGAGTCCATCGCCGGCTTGTTTTTAGCAATGGCGGCTTTGCGATTTCCGCCTTGAAAGGTCCCGCCTGGATGATGCTCTCGCGCATCTCTTTGCGGTATGCGGTGAAGTCTGACGCAAGATTTTTGCCTTGGTTTGACGCTCTTGGCTAAAGTATGATGAGTGACATGTTTAATAGGCCTGCAATGTTCTCACCGTTCCATGCTCATTTCAACTATGGAGCCGGCTTCTAACTCAATCGAGCAAAGCAATAGTCAGGTAACCGTCCCGTTCTGGCTTGACACCATCAAGGATATCCAATAGTCGGTCCACCTTCACGGATGTTCAGCTGACCTTTTGCTGGGCGAACAGCTCTGTACTTGGCAGAGTGGAAAATAGCCCAAGTTTGGCGAACGCTACCAGAGTTGGGTTGCTGCCACCGTTTTGCCTTGAACTCCTTGCAGCTGCATGCTTCATAGATGGCACACGCATATCAAAAGACAGGCTGCAGTTCCTCCAAGAGAATTGTGTTCCTTTAAGCTATCAAAAAACCACGATCCTTTGGCAACTTCGAGTGACAACCTTGCAGTTCCGAGAAGTTTCAGAAAAAATCCGAGCTGCACTCGAAGAGCGCCCGCTGCACGTCCAGGGATGTTGCATTGCCCCGCATGGCCTTACATCGAAGTTGCACAGGCTCTCATGCGATACCAATCCCGACAACCCGCTCCATGAACATGCGCCATGCACATGTAAGCTGTGCCAAGTAGCCAATGACAAACCACCCGCCTCTTCACATCGCTGGGTTTTCTTGGTTTCCTTTCAAACAGCAACCAGAAACAGGATCCGCGGGAAAAAAAACAATTATATCTGCATGACTCCAAATGCATTTGCATTTGGTATTGGTTCCAGCAGCATCATGATGTTGACACCTTGACCAACACGCTGACGACACACACTCAGCACCAGCACCCCTGACAAGCGCCCAGGCCAGCACCCGTCCAGCCGATGACCAGCGCCGCAAACAGCACCCCAACCGCCAAACAGCACCTGCACCAGCACCCCGAACAGCATGCCCTCGCACCCTGCTGTCCATCTGGAAAGAATGTGCGCCGACCAGGACCTCAAACAGCACTCCGAAGCAGCACTTCACCAGCACCTCAAACTGCGTGCCCCCTAACACCCTGCCATCTTGCAAACAAATGATCCCGTGCTGTCACCAGCACCTCAAGCAGCACCCCCAAACAGCACCTGCATGAGCACCCCAAACTGCATGCCCCATAGCACCCAGCCATCAATCTCGCAAAACACTTTCCCTTCTTGATTGGAAGTTAGAACCCCTATAGCTTTCAGCAATCTGAGACAATACTGCAGCCACTTTCCTTGGCCCGAAATTGTTTTCCAGGGTGAATTCGAGGCTGGCCACTTCCAATTGCTCGCTAGGCAAGCAAACGGACCAGCTCGGTTCAGCTTTGATTTGTAGCTCCCTTCTTTTTGCCTGTTTTCAACTATCTGCCCCTCCTGTCAGGGCCGCAACTTCAGTGCCTTTGGGCATCCGGGCCATGCATCCCTCCACGAAGCGGTCGATGCTCACCTCTTGGTCCTCCCCGGCCACCGTACGGAAGAAGTGCCTGCGAAGGTCATACCATGGGCAAGCTTGGTTGCACACGGTCGCTTGTTGTTTTCCAAAACACGTCAAGCAAGACCAAATGAACAAGGGGTACCACTGAGGGCCTCCTCATCTCCTTACCGCACAGTTTAGAACGCAGGGGCAGTACCAACAACTATGTTCGGTTGCTTTGCATAGAAGCAAGCACAGCATTCAACGCAGCCTTGGAGAGAAAGCCGCTGTGCACGCCGTTTAATGTTCCGCGTTCACTCGCAGAATGCCCATGTCAACCAGCCCACTGGTTGTTCACCGCCCACGTTCAGCCAAACAGGCAATGAAAGCCAGCGTGCCAGGTCACCTGACTGTCCCTACCACATAAGCTCCAGTTGCAGTGCTTCATGTATGAAAGCTTAAGGTTCGTGTTAGAAAGATCCCCAGAATCGCGAAGAATTAATATCTCTCATGGAGCGCAACGCGTAGGGAGAAATTCAATGGACCACAACAGGTCTATAAAGCTAGTTGTGCCAATCGGCCATCAAGGACAGTTTCGCAACATGACTTTCCCAAGTTCAACCAGTCCAACCAGGGCAACCACTCGTGTTGGCCGCGTTGCTCGACGTCGTGCATCTCCAAGCCGACACTGGACATGTATGACCTGAATCGATATCGGTGACCAACTCACATCCACATTGAGCGGTGGGTTGCGAACTGTGCCCCAAAAAAAACCTTCTCGAAATATCACTTCTCCTCCTGGCTTTGCGGTAGAGCCATCCCAAGGGCGACAAGCGCCGTCAAGTACATTTCTTGACGTCGATGCATTTCGCAATTTCAGCCTTACTTAACTCACGTGCTTGTGACAATCCAGCAACCCTCCATGAGCACTGCAGCTCTTGTCGAACCGCAGTGGAGCTACTTGGAGCGCAGCACCCATCCAAATAACTAGATATGAAAACATAGCCACATGCTCACTTGCCGCCGGGGAGCACCATTTGTTCACTTCTCATGTGTTTCTTGAACTCCGCTTTTGTGATGGTACCTGGTGCGCGTTGGGTGCTGGGCCTTGACATCCAACGGTCAGCTGTCGAGCACCTCTAGCGGCAATCCAGGCAATCCAGCTCAGGATGTCGCCACCCTCTATATCTCGTGCACCCATTCCATAATGAACTGCCTCATCCATATTATATATATATGTATATATATATATATATATATAATTAATGTGTATATATATATATATGTATATATATACATACATACATATATATATATTCCTTTCTTCAGATTTGGGAGACAACGCGGGCTTGGACTCTCGCCTGCGAGATAAACATGTTGGCCGGCGCAACGAGCGAACATCACAAATCTGGCGCTTTCACGAAACCCTTCGAGTGTCGGAATGCCGCTCCCTGGAACGAATCCCTGGAACGAAGAAACAAGACATAAAAGCGATGCCGAACCACCTGTACGTATTGTTGGGAGATCCCAACAAGCCACGCCTGAGCCATCCGTGTCCAGCTGATTGCCTTGCAGCAACATGTAGAGTCTCAAGCACTTTCGATGGCTGCTTCTCACATATCAACTGGTTGACTCATGCCTCATGCCTTGAATCCTTTTGAGAACCGCGCACCAACGGCGTCCAACATTTTGGGAGACGCGCATATTGGCAACCCTCCAAATTCTTCAGACATGGGCCTGGCTGCATGCGAGAGCTGCCTTGCAATCCTATCTCGCAATGGGCGTCACTTCTTCTGGGAACTCTGCCACTTCGCTTGCTTCTGCAAAGCTTGTTTCCCACGCTTCTGCAAATCACGGTCTTCTTTTCCCCCTTCTACGGAGTTTCTGTATGTTGAAGAGCTTCCGTCTGCTGTTTTCAAAAGTTCTTCTCAAATACTCTGCTGTCATGGCTGTGACTTTTCTGTGACATGGGTAACTGTTTCCTGCAATGGGTGTGCGAATAACGGGGCGTGGTCTAAGTGGGCATGACAATAGCTGCAAGCATGTGCTTCATGGCAACTTGTACCGGGACCACCCGTACAACATTTCGGTTCAGTCACATGCTTTGCAGGGCATGCAAAGAACGTCACTTTTCAACACCTGCCAGATTCCTTGTTGCAAAGCGAACACAAGCTACCCTTGCAAATTAGAAAGCAACCTCCCCCAAGGGTCTTCTGTAAGGGGGCTCATTCCTTAACACATGCACACATTCGAGGATCTGTGACAGTTGTCCTGAGTCGGAACGAACTTGTCTGCTTGCAAATAGGCCTAACAACGCTGTCAACGTGTATCTCGCCAACAATACCTCCAGTTGGCAGGTCGCCCTCTGACCAGACTGACACGACTGACACGTTCCATGCGATACAATCAAAGTACCGGGGTTCTGGGTGAACAATTGCGATTGTGGGACGGCATACGTTGACGGATAGAACTAGAACTACGGTTTACATGATCGCAATGAAGCGCCCCTCAAGTGACTCAATTGCAGTGTATATGTGTCAAGATAGGGGGACTCAAATTATCCTGGTTTCCTTTTGGTTTCTCTCTAAGGGCACCCATGTCAAATCTGTCATCTGTGCAGCGGACTTGTGCTAAGCGCCAAGCACAGCCCTTTGAAGTCTTCAACCTGACCAGGCAACACATGATTACAGAATTGTTTAGCTCAAAGGATATGCGTCCTTGTCATGCGATTCATGCAACCTCAAACATCAAACATACTTCACGTGGGCGGCCTGCTTTG